TTTTTTTGTAAGTTGAATAACCTTTCCTGGTTTTGATTGAATGTAAATATTCTAAGCCAAAATTGTAGAGGAGCTGCCAAATATCATCTTTCTTCGGAAAATTAGCAGGTTTTGAAGCCATTTCGGCAAAGCATCTGTTTCAGTTTCGTTAGCACCTCCAAGAGTTGAACGTGATAGGTCCGAAGTAGATGCGGAAGGTGATTTGGATGTGCTTATTGGTGAAATTACATCCTAATCTCATCATCACCATCATGTGAACTGATTGGATCCGGAGCAAATGAAATTGACGCATCAGGAGCAGGTGTAGAATCTAATCTGGATGTAACAATTGGAGAGATGGATTGAAAAACATCATCACGAGCTTTCGTTGTGTCGGGCAATGCTGTTGAATTTGCGATGCAGGTCGCATTATGAGTGCTGAAAGATGCTGATTGCTCAGCTTCAGTCTGAACGATTTCAGTGGCCAATGATGTTTCGTTTATTTTTTCAGATTGAAGCAACAAACTTGCTTGTTGATCAGGAAATGCACCAACAACTTGATCTAGAAAAGTTGAAGTACCAATAGTTGATGGATCAGCGACATTAATTGACAAATCTTTAGGCAATTCTGACAGTGGAGATTTTTCGTTTAACTCAATGACAGCTGGTTCCTTTGAAGTATTTTCGCATGTACAACATAATTCTTTAAGATTTGCTGTCATATATTTTTTTTCTAAATGTTTTTTATTCTTACCTGCAAAGATGAAAAATAGTTAGAAATTACTAGAGAAGATGCACAAGAAAAATCTGAAAAGAAATATTACTTACTTATATCGAATAGATAATGTGGCCAAAACTCTTTCGGTTGACTTCTTTTGATAGGCCAAGGACGGCCTCGAACCAAAATTCTAGATAATTTTTTAGCCTCAACACAATCGTATAGCCAAATATCTTCAATTTTAGTGATGAAATATTTTTGTCTCTTATTTTCTGGACCAGTAGAGAAATAGAGAACATATAGTTCATTCGATTTCTTTGGAGAATTCATGTTTACACTTTCAATAAACAATCCAAATTGTTAATTAACACTTTATCAATTAAAGCACAAAAAATTAAGGATTTTAAGAAAATTGTTGGAATAATGAAAAAGGATAACGAAAATCACAACAATATCTGTCGATACATCGAGATCTCGTATCGATCTCATGCATGAGTCAAGCGTGAGCCTGTAATAAACATTCAATTGTAATTATTTAATGCTATTATATTGCTTTGTTTTAAAAAGTGATGAAAGTGATCAACGATGCTATTAATTAAATTAGTTAATATCAAACAACTTTTAATACAATAAAACACCTCGAATCGAAATGTTACGGATTATTACTTTTAATTTCGATTTTAGCCTTTAATTTTCTAGCTAAAATTTCAGGATTAGACGTCGCAATAAGAATTACTCGACTGTCTGAATTGGTTATTTCTGCCTCAACAGAGCTAGCTTTGTACTTGTTTCTAGCTTTCAAATCTCTTCTAAGCTGAAGGTATTTCTTCGTAATGCTGTCTTGAGTCTTAGCGTTTCGTTTTGATATTTGTTCGAGAGCCTTTCTTGTAGCATAGTCTTCTTTACGCTTTGGAGCATTTTGATTAGGCGAACAAGCAAGATTTGACGAATCCAGACGCAAAGGAAACCAGATATAAATACTAATACAAGAAGAGTATACTGGAATATACTGCGTTCCACATTTTCAAGATTGAAGCATGGAGGAACTAACAAGTATGGCGTTAATTTAGATCCAGGAGCTAAAGCTTAAATTATCGTTGGAGATTTCAACGCAAGTATTGATGACAATTAAACTGATGATGATCGATTCCTCAAAGCTTTAATCGAATAATATGGATTGCTTGCGGTGTCGACCGAGAACACTTATTTCTGTGACCACAGCAATACGAGATTGCGAGATATGATTATATTTTACATACATCGAATTTGGACTTTTACAGAAAATTAGAAGATTTGGACACAATTTATCAGACCATAAAGCAATATTTTCGGAGCTAAAAGTCACAAACCATTCATTAAAGAACTTTCCTCATGAAATACAAGGATAAAGATTGGGACAGTTTCAGAAGGATTGTTGAAGCAAGTAGTTTGAGATTTCAATCTATGTAATCTAATTTATGTTTTAACTCAATTTATCTACAATTGGCTACAGTATCGGTAAAACTGTATATTTTCTGTAACTTTTGTGAAGGAAAATCCTGCAAAAGCCAAAGGTCAAAGGCTCCTTCTTATGTAGGATAATCCTTTTTGATCCGCCTCGTTCACTTTAAATTTGAATGCAATCATTCACTTCTATCAATGCACAATAATTCATTGTTTTTGTTGGATTGTTCGCAACATCAAAATGTGGGAATATAGTTTTAACCTCGTGTTGACAGCGTCTTTACTTGGATCAATTGGAAATCTAGTTGCTAAGGAAAAACAATCAAAAGCTGCAAATGAAGGCATCATCCTTATGTGAAGCTAAAAAAGTCAACGCCATTTAGCAAAATCACACATTTACTATTACATATGCAACACGCTATGCACCATCAACCATTTCAAAGTATAATAGGAATAGAAAAAAACTAATTGCATTGCAAAAATTCTATTTAAGCGTACATTTTCAGGTATTGTAGCGAGATTGAAATAAAATAATTAGAGATTTGCAATCTTTTGATTTTCAATGGTGCTGCACACATCGGGATCAGAAGGACATACGGTTATATATGACACATATGCTTTACGTACTCCGGATACATAATCATATCAACACATCCAGAAATGGGCAATGCAACAGCAAGTTACCCATGATGAATTTACTCCGTTGTCCTTCTGGTGCTGTTTTAGAGAGAGGTTTGACCATAAATTTTCGGTCAGCGCATCTGTATATACATTCAAACTTTTCACGTTTTTTGATGGCCTCAATGTCACATTTCTTTCAAAAAATCGTGCACCAAAGGCTTTCGAATCATGCAATGACAATAGTTGCATTGATAATTTCGCCACAAATTATCGTCGATGAATTGATTGTCATCTATCAACTATGTACAGGGCATTTCAGCTAATTTTCCCGTTGTAAATTGGCTATATCTTTGCTCCTGAGTGACCTAGAGGTTAGATATTTTGTTAATGGAAATTTGGGCGATACTCAATTGTCATATTGCAAGGTCAAGGTCATTCAAGGTCATTGCGTTATTTGACCTCTAA